GTCTCCAGTTTTTCAGAAAATGACGTGGCTTGTCTCCCTTTGGAAGTGTGACTGAGAGCTGACCAACTAAAAGACTATAATTAATGCCTTAACACCCAAATATTTCCAAAATGCTTTAAATAATTCTGCTGCAAAACCATCAGACCCTGGGCTCTTAATAATGGAATAAATATATAATGATCAAACGCGTAGCAATCTACGTATATATATATACCGGTCCGACCGATTAAATGAAAGCGAGCTAAATGCGATAACAGTCAAAGGGAAATAACTCTACGCAATACGCGCCACTAATCCCAGTGCGAAATGAAAATGGAGGAGAGAGCAGGCGGAAGGGATTATTTCTGAACTTTCATTTTTCTATTAGGATGGCGAGCTTGACAACCGAAATCAACCGTTTCAACAGTTGTTCTAAGAGACTACAGATCATCTTAGACGACACAAAACGATGCTTTGATGACATAAATGAGTCGGGAAGGTCAGAAGCTGGTGAGTAAGGTGACATAGAGGGTCACAAGATACAGACGTAGTTTCATAGATTAAAAGTTGAGAAGGGTACGCGTAACATTTCGTCTAAAGTACCATCGTACTAAATTTCATTAACATAGGGCTAATAACTAGATTTAAATTAGAATTAAGCTTTACGTTCTGGTTTCATGCTATGAGATAAAGATGTCTGAACAGGAAAAGTTTTTGGTGACCAAGGTTTGACAGTGTGACGTTTGTGACACATGGTTCTCTTATCTTATCAAGATGAGGATGATTTCATGTATTGTTGTATCTCTTGCGTCAATGCTTTTCCTTTGTGTTATAATCAGGTACAATGCAATTTATTTTATTTCGGTACATGCAGTCAAAATCTAAATGTGGCATACAACCACAGGTGCAGCATGAGTGGACACACGAAAACATTGGTGTGTACATATAATGATATATACTATTTTATATTCTACCTTTGCGTGTCTAACACCTATTTTGTAAACCTGCATTAGGTCGATGACTTGTTGCAAGGTAGCCATCAACTGTTCAAGGTCCCTGGTTCTAATGCTGCCCGGCATTTTTCCTTTCGTGTTTCACCCAGATTTGGTCATGCATGGTGTCAGTAAAATATACTCGCAGAAATGGATCTAGGTTCGTGCGTGTACTTAAAGCTTGATTTCCACAATTTTGTTGAAAGATTGTAAGAGGGAGGAATATAGTGGATCTGTTTTTGGTTCATTGCCAGTGATCCAGTCATTGTAGTCCAGATCCACTGTACATAAAACTGAAAAATACATTGAAAATCTATAATTACTGTTATCATTTTGTGTGATATAAGACAGTATGCAAATTAGGCATGCAGTGTCACATGATTTTCTTTCCCATTTTAGGACAACAAGATTATGTACAGGGAAGATGTCAATTGGATTCCGTAAAACTAACTAATGTACAAGGTGTAAAGTTTTGTAACTGTAATTTGTTAGAGAGCTTTCAGGTGACAGTGTTGGTGACAGTTGCTTACTTACCAACTTTTCCAATTTTATCATGTGGAAAAATTTGTGCCACAATCTACCAGTTAATAGAGTAATAATGTCTAAAAGTTACTTACAATGACCCCTATTTTGGAAACTAATTGTGTAAGTCAGGGTGAACATTTTTGCCATTTTTGCACATATATATTGAATTTCAAAATTATTGCATCATTATTACCAGGTAAACAAAGTAATCATCAATATTTTCCCCATCATGTGCTTATCAATTTTCCTTGCAGGTTAGGTCATTTAGACATCATGTATGCCTCATTTAAAACTTCATTCATGTTGTTTAAAGGTAATCTTATAAGACCAATTCTATATCCTACGCTTATAACCCTGTACCAATGTCAGCCCTCAGGCTTTCTAGGCCCTCGGCCTGATTTCTCAATGGGCGTCTCTGGTAGATAATTGTAAGGGGTAAGATATACAGAAATGGTCATATGAACCTTTTGAAGTATGTTAGGACAACAATCTGTGAGCATTTCTGATATTTTTATTTCCATTTTCAGGTCAGCTGTTTTCAGCGGAGCTTCTTCAGGAGGAAGAACAAGAAATACTAGCCACAGCAAGAAAACCTCCAGGCATTGTCATTTTTGGACAGAATGCTTACTGCAAGTCCTGTGTGGTTAACGAGATATTCAGCCGAAACATTTTCCCTAGATTCGAAAACGGAGACATAAATGGAAATAATCGTATGGTTCAGTTCAAATATGGAAGTAATCTGTCTGTTGGTTTATCACTTCCAGACGGTTACGATCTTGCTGAAAATTTAGAAGCCTATAAAAGACCTTGGAGTACAATACCCATAGAAGACATTGAGATTTCAGAGAACCCCAGTTTAGATGGGGCTAACGGAACAGCTGTGTTGGAAGTGTCGATCAATCACTCGATGCTCCGACACGGGGCAAAGGTCATTGTGTCACCCTCAATGAATGACTCCGGGAGTGACCTGGAACAGAAGTACAGTAAATGCTGTGAGAAAGTCTCGCCCATTCTCCTGTTTGCATTCCAGACACAGGAGCTTACAGAAAACGTAGGTTTTTGATATATCAAGTCGGGGGGAAAAGTTAAAGGGCTGTGTCAGATTTCCTATTACAAATCTGATATTTCAGACTTTGAAATGTTATTTTGTTTAGAAACAGGAAAAAGTATGCAGATAAGTACATGCAGGAAGGGGTGTTCAATTCATATTTAGATTATAATTACTAGCAGGCAGGTTATGTAAACTTGTACTAGTTCAAACTATATGTTCATTGGTACATGTATGAAGAGGTGTTCATGATCAATCCATATTTAAATTACTAGCAAGCAGGATACATAAACTGACAATAGTTCAACCTATATTTCAATTGGTACATGCATGCAGGTAGGGGTGTTCACTTCATATTTAAATTACCAGTAGGCAGGACATGTAAACTAATACTGTAATAGTTTATTCTATATTTTCATTGTAAATATTGAAAATTTCAGTAGCCTTGACATTTGTACTAGTCCCATCCCCATGCATCGGGCTACTGGACTTGTACTGAATATTTTTTATTTACCTGGTACTGTATAACGATCGTTGTCAATCAATCTAGAATTTCTGGGAAGCGACATGTATATCTTACTTCTAAAATTAGATCACACCTGTTACATATTTGTCACACATTTCACATACAACACGGTGTTGCCTACATTTGGTGAGCTACTCTACGTATAACTTATATAACTAGCACCAACAGAAATATATAAGAATACATAAACATATTTCACCAATTCACCCCTGGATTTTAGCAATAAACTGTACAATTCGTCATCTTGGAAGAGTCTTAATGTGACTTCAGAAGTCAATGAGTTAATAGTTACAATTTTATCTATAATCTGATATCTTCCCCTGTGGTTGAAATTTTCACGTTGGCAAATGTTCCGAAATCTTGATATTCTATATATATCTGTAATTTATATACATATTTCCATGTGGAAATCTTCATGCTAATTTACTCAACCTGAAAATCTTTAGCATTTCCACTTCGGGATAATTTTTTACGATAATCTTTTACAGTATTTCATGATTTACAACCTGTTTGGTGTTCTAATGAAAACCCACCAACAATCACGTCTCACTCCATATATCTCTTTTCAAGTAATTTCTAATTTCTCTCTCCACTCATTTAAGATTGACATTGTGTGCTACTGATGGACTGGGATGAACCCTGCCGACCTGTCAGTGTTTAATTTTCGAAAGAAATTCATCTTTCCCTGTTGTAGGAAAACAGACCACTACCCCTTTTCTTCATAGAAATTTGACAGTATGATATAGATATAAAAATACAGTCAGAACAATTAGTTCATGATAAGATGCAGCAGTAATGCAACTCAGCAAATACTCTTCATGAACATGTCCAATTAATGGATGTTTGAAAAACCAAATCTGATGCCTGCATGCTTCTTTCACAGTTTTCTTTTTCTACTTCAGGATTTAAGTTTTCTGAAGAAATTACAGACAATAAGTCATTACCAGCCTGTGTGTTTCGTTGGGGTAAGTACAGAAAAGTCAGATTCTAGTGATGGAAGCAGGACTACAGAAAAAAATCTCAATGCCAGTAAACAAAAACTGGAAGCAGGTTGCAATGGTTCTATAGAGGACCTTGATGACCATGAAAACCAGAACCATTTGACTAATATTGACGAACCGAATTACTGTGTATCTCCAATGTCGTCGCCGCTGTCAAGTGTATGCTCCAAAGGGACGTGTAAGGGACGTGTGATATTGACATCTTCTTTAGTATTTCATCAACTCTGTGATATTGGCTATCTGAGCGAAAGTCCAGGTAGTAGAAACCTCACCAACACAATGGCCACTGACTACTACGAGGTCGATAGTGAACTTATCGATAATTTCGCATCGTTTCCCTCCAGGATTGTGTACTTCGTCCAGCAAACAATTCAGCGGTACCTCGTGAATGCGGCTACTGTCCTGAACAACTGTCACGAACGATCTCTAAATATGTTTATCGTTTCTGCATTTGACATGGCACGAGACATGATGATCACTCCGAAAAAACTAGAATTTGCACGAGGGAAGGAGACCGAGTTGTACAAATCTCTGATGAAGATCTCTGTAGAGAAGGGTGACGAGATTAAATTGATGATATCGGAGACTATCCAGAGTATTCACCAGAGTTTAGTCGACAAAGCAGCACAGTACGAGTTTCTAGGTAAGGTAACCTGTTTGTTTTCTCTTTGTTGTCGTAGAATAACATTAACTCTATATCAGTACTTTATAGTGGTTATATTTCGCGGGGATTTTAATTTCGCTATATTCGCGAATTGACTAATATCCGCAAATTCTTAACACCAGTGAAATTATTGAAAAATGTTATCCACTTTTACAGACCTTATCACAACATGTTGAACATACTTATAACCCAACGCTGTTA